GGCTCTCACCTCAGGCCCCGCCCCTCTGCGCTCACAGGCCTCGGGCTATCACCTCAGGCCACGCCCCTTCCCCCTCCCTCAGGCCAAGCATATACACCACGTGCCCCTCTCCTCTAACCCCGCCTTCTCCCCCCGACCCCCCCATCAGGCTTTGTTCCAGTCCTCAAAGGCCACGCCCCTCTCACCTACACCGTTCTCAGGACCAGCCCCCTTTCCCCCCCAGGCCCTGGTGTTATCCCCACTGATGGCCACGCCCCCTCCACTCCGAGGCCCGCCCCTGTCCTCGCATGCTCCGCCCACTCACTCGGAGGCGCCCTCGCTGGTGGGGGACTGGCCCTCGGCGATGGTAGGGTTGATAGTGAGCGCCGGTAACACCGGCTTCCTCCGGGCCAGCATCAGGGATCCGCGGCCGCCGGCGGCGTCTCAGCCGGGGCCCATAGGGGGCGGCGCGGCGCGGGCCCCGGGCTGCGGCCTAGGCCGGGCAGACGGTGGAAGGCAGCCGAGCCGGAGCGCCGGAGAGAAGACCGACGCGGTGGCCGAGTGAGGCTGACACTGCAGCGCAGCGGGGAGGTCGCGGAACAGGGGCGGCCACAGGAGCGCAGGCCGGGCTCTCGCGAGATCTTTTCCCGCGAGACTCCGCCCTCAGACGAGGCGCATGCGCCGTGGCTCCAGGGCCGAGGCGGCCGCTCGTCGGTGCGGTCGGCTGCGCCGTGGGTTTCCCACGCTCGGCTGCGCGCGTTTCTAACGCGGGCGCGGTTACAGACGGGCAGGACCGTGGGGGGACGGACCGGGATCCCAGCAAGGACGGTCAGGACCTCGGCGACCAGCGTCGGTCGGATCAGACATGCTGAGCGTCCCGTTTCCTAGGCCCGTCCCTGCTGGGACGGGAGGCCCGCGCTGCCTCCCCGCTCTCCGCTTCCCTGGGGCTTCGTGTCCTGCAGGCGGGCGGGAGCGCTGCCCGCCAGTGCCTACTCCCTGCGTTTCGTCTTGTTGCTTGTTTTTGTTTTTTTTAAATTTTGAGACAGTGTCTCAGTATGCCACCCACACTGTTGTGGAAGTCCAGGCTTCGCCTCCGCTCCTTGCAATCCTCCGGTCTCAGCCCCTAGTGTTTTTTCACTGTTCTGCGGCAGTCCCACAGGCCTACAGACCTCCTCATGGCCCTCCATCGAAGCTTGGGTATGGGGAAAACATGAACCGCCTTGGTCTCCGTCCCTGACAGTCACCATTCAAAGTCTGAGTCGGGGCCGGGCAGTGGTGGCGCACACCTTTAATCCCAGCACTCGGGAGGCAGAGGCAGGCGGATTTCTGAGTTCGAGGCCAGCCTGGTCTACAGAGTGAGTTCCAGGACAGCCAGGGCTACACACAGAAACCCTGTCTCAAAAAAAAAAAAAAGTCTGAGTCGGATCACTTCTTGTGATTAGGGTCACTTATGACTGGCTTGTTTTACCTTTGCCCTCAGGGTCCGTCAACAATGGGACAGGTGGCAGGGCTCTCCTCCTCTTCCTGGCCATACTCTACGTTATGTGGACATACCCCTCAGGACTAGTTCTTTGTCAGGATCTCGCTCTTGTGATTCAGAGTGTACAAACATCTAGTTAAGCCCTGCCCTGGGTCTTGAGCAGGTACATGGAAGTCAAACTTGCAGGGTCTTCCTCAGTGGCCCAGGGTGGCCTTGAACTTTATTTAGCTCAATGTCGTTGAGAATTTATTTTTCTGGTACAATTTTGTGAGAACAAACCATTTTATATTTTTAAAAATGATTTCTTTGTTTTATGTATGTGAGTACACTGTCGCTCTCGTTAGACACACCAGATCTCATTACAGATGGTTGTGAGCCACCATGTGGTTGCTGGGAATTGAACATAGGACCTCTGGAGAAGGAGTCAGTGCTCTGAACTGCTGAACCATCTCTCTGGGCCAAGAACAAACCGTTTGAAAACCAAAGGAAAGTGCCAAGTATAGTGGCATATACCTTTAATCTTAACCCTCAGGAGGCAGGCACAGGAGGCTCACTGTGTCCCATGCCAGGCAGGGAGGGCTACATACTCAGGCTCTGCCTCTAAATAAACCAACAGAGCTCGAGTCACAGACTAAAGGGAAGGCTGCAAAAGAAGGGTCTAGAGTTAAAGGCTAGCCTGGGCTACACAGTGAGACTCTTCTCTGTCTCAGAAAACAGCCAAGAACAGGGGCATAGCCCAACACAGGACCACTTTCTGTGGCTGGTGCACAGTGAACCCCAAGTGAGTGTTCTGCCAAGGGAAGCCTGCCCCACTTAGTTATTGTTTGATAAGATTGTGAAGTTGTTCATGGGCCAGCTCCCGGGGTGGAGCTAGGCAGAGACCTGGTTTACATGTGCCTTTATACATCATTGCAGACAGAAGTCCCGACCTCAAAACACCATAAATGTCACACAGTGTCTTCCCAATTGAAAGTCCTCCTCCCCAAGCCTCACAGGGAACAGATATCGGCAGGAGCCTTCCCTCTCTTTCTAGTATGTGTATTCCAGGGATTGAACCCAGGTCCTCAGGCTTGGCTGCAAGCTCCTCTACCTGCTGACCCTCTTGCTGATCCCCAGTTGTTCATTCAGTTGTCAGCAGTCTCCCGCCCACTTGCACCTCAGATGTATCTGGGGGCTCTGGCTCTGGGATGGGAAGGCCTTGTTTTCCAGCAGTCCCAGGAATACTCCTTCATTCGGTCTATCTTAGCTCCCTGTAATCTTCTTTATTGACCACAGTGGAACATAATAAACTGCACAGTCTGCAAGGTGCAATTGCAGGAACTTTTACAACAGTGCACACCTCAGTGCTGGGTGTGTGCACACCTGTGGAACCATTCCCTCAGTGCTGGGTGTGTCCTGTGTTTCAGTTTTTGGCTTCTGCCTACAGTGGGCATGGTGCAATGGTCACAGTTTACCTGTGCTTGTAACTAGGAAGGACCCTCACATCCCAGAGAGTTGAGGGACAGAAGCAAGAACTTCATGAGCCCAAAGGCTGCTAGGTTACAGAGAGCAGACAAGGGCGGCACTGGTCAAGTAAGGCCTGTCTCAGTCTGAGTCAGCAGGTGTGGTGCCCTATGCCTTCAGGGCCAGCATCAGGTGGTAGAAAGATCTCCAGAAATTCAAAGCCAACTTTGTCTACATAACCAGTTATAGCCAGTTGGGGCTGCATACTGATACCCTGTACCAAAACAATAACCAATAGATACAGAGCCTGCTAGAATCCCCCAGTGAGGGGCTAGGGCGTGGTCAGAGGTGGAGCTCCAGGAAGCCCTGGGTTTAATTCCTACTAGTAAATAATAACAATAATAATGATGATAGTATTAATAAGCCATAGCTTCTGTGATCCTTTTGAAGTTCACAGGTTCTCACTGCTCCTCGCTGTGGCCCTCTGACTGGGCCAGGTTC